TGCTGTGCAAGTTCAGGAATTGGTGAAGCATTTCTATATCGTTCTCCCTCTTGCTTTTCCTCTGCAGAGACAGAAAAGCACGTATTCCACATACCCCAAGGCTGAGCCGACACCAGTCACCTCATCGGCTCCACCAGTCAACACCCTCTATTCCTCACCTGTGGTAAGTGCCCACCCGCCTGGAGAGATTTCCCCTATTGCTATTTAGACACTTCTCCCGTGTCGCGAACATTCTGTGGTTCTTTGGTAAGTCCAGCCAAGTCCATGGGAGAGGAAGAGAATGGGTGTTGGCTTTTCCTGTCACCTTGCTTCAGCAGCTCCTTCTGCTGACAAGTCCCCTCATGCCTTGAAGCCTGAAACAGGCAGCGTTTCAAGCTTGATCTCCTAAGAGAAGGGGAGGCAGTGGGGGTACCCATCTTTGCATGGGTGATTAATCCTGTAATATGTGTCTTATTTCAGAACTCCTCTGCACCTCTGGCCGAGGACATTGACCCTGAGGTAAGACCCCCAGTCCCCATAAGCCATTTTGTAGTTCGCTGGTATCAGCGACACCCTGGCTAGTGACAACCAGCTTGCTTCCTGTTTCCCAACATCTCCTTGCAGCTGGCTCGGTACCTGAACCGCAACTACTGGGAGAAGAAGCAGGAGGAGGTGCGCAAGAGCCCCACCCCTTCCGCCCCGCTATCCATGGGGGAGCCAGCAACCCAGAACACCGAGGTCCAGCCTGCCCCGCTCAGTGTGGTGGAGGTAAGAACAGCCTTCCCTTTCTGTGTGCTCTTAGGATGCTCCACAGTAAGGCAGAATTAGGCTCAGCCACTGGGTTTGTTTGGTTTTTTCCTGAAATGGTTGCCAGCTGGTGAGCAACTGCTGTTTCTTTCTCCAATGTGAGCAGCGGGATTAAAGGAGGCCAGGCACGGAGTGCGGCAAGCTTTCTGTGCTGCATTTGAACAGTCTGGAGGTTTAAGGTTTTTACAGGAGATGCATCGCCTTGCAGGGAAACAGGACAGGGGTAACCCAAGGCAGCTGAAGCCACATTGAAAAATGAAGTCTGTTGAGCTTTAACTTAGTTGGAATTGCAGCTTCCAGTTAATGGTCTCCCCATCTCTCTCTGATGGTCTCCCCAGCAGCAATACCAAAACGGTGAGACAGACGAGAGCCACGACCAGTTCCTGAAGGCTCTGCAGAACGCCGTCACCACCTTCGTCAACCGCATGAAGAGCAACCACCTGCGGGGCCGGAGCATCACCAATGACTCTGCCGTGCTCTCGCTCTTCCAGTCCATCAACAGCATGCACCCTCAGCTCCTGGAGCTGCTGAACCAGTTGGATGAGCGCCGCAGTAAGTTCCCAGGGCCCCGGTCCTTAATGTGGGCAGAGACCTGCGGGAGGAGCTTGTAGCACGGTTGGGATCGCCTCTCTGCCCATTAAATCATAGGCGGTTAATTGACTTCCTTGCGTTGAACCAAAATGGGCATTGGGGCTTCCTTTCCACTTTTTAGCATTGGGGTGGGAAGGAAGGGAAGATGGTGTGATGCCTTTGGCCCACGCTGAGGAGTCTGCCCTGCTTTCCTCAAGGTGGGAGCTATACCTCCTGTGGATCTCACGGGGGTGGGGCTTCTGACAGCGCCTTTTTTCGCCCCTTCCCCCTGCCCAGTGTACTATGAGGGACTTCAAGATAAACTTGCCCAGATCCGGGATGCGCGGGGAGCCCTGAATGCTCTGCGGGAGGAACACCGGGAGAAGCTGCGCCGCGCTGCCGAGGAGGCCGAGCGCCAGCGCCAGATCCAGCTAGCCCAGAAGCTTGAGATTATGCGGCAGAAGAAACAGGTGAGGTGGCTGCTGCCAAGTGTGTCCGGTACAAAAGGTACACCTGCCCTCTGCAAAATGGTTTGCAAGCGGTGCAGCCTAGTAAAGCATGAAGTCCCATGGCTCCCGTGTTGTAACGCATCCCATGTTCTTCTCCAACTTGTAGGAATACCTGGAGATGCAACGGCAGTTGGCAATCCAGCGCCTTCAGGAGCAAGAGAAGGAGCGCCAGCTGCGGCTGGAGCAGCAGAAGCAAACAATCCAAATGCGAGCCCAGATGCCTGCTTTCTCCTTGCCGTATGCTCAGGTATGGCGGGCAGAGAGGCCGAGAATCCCTCCTCCTCTTCCCTTCCGTGGCTGTTCTCTTTGCAAATGCATCAGCCAAGTCACCGTCCCTCTCTTAACCTGCTTCCTGTCTCTCTAGCTGCAGGCCATGCCTCCTGCTGGCGGGGTGATCTACCAGCCATCAGGCCCCACAAGCTTCCCAGGCACCTTCAGCCCAGCAGGCTCTGTGGAGGGCTCACCTATGCACACAGTGTACATGAGCCAGCCTGCCCAGGGCAGCACCGGACCGTACACTGCAATGCCTGTGGCCGGAACAGGTAAGAGCAATAGGATGGAGGGGGAATGTGTTAGCTGAAAGCACCTGAAATGGGATACTGGGCTAGCTGGCCTGGTCTCGGAAGGCTGTCCTTTTCTCATATTTCATCTGTATTTCAGATCCCAACATGGTGAGCACCTACATGTACTCAGCAAGCACTAATAATGCCCAGGCAGCTCCGCAAGGGCAGGCTGTGCCCACCACGAATCCTGCCTATTCTTCCTACCAACCTACACCTACCCAAGGCTACCAGGCAAGTTTGACCCACAGCCCAAATTTCCTCTGTCCCAAATCGGGGGATTAAATCCCAGCAGGTTATATGTGCTGTTGTGAAAGTGGAGGGAGAGTTCTAGCCAGTGTGGTGATGTCATTAGTGTTTGACTAGGACGGAGAAGATCCAAGTTCGAATCATTCTAGCGGTGATGCTTCTGTTATTATGAAGCTGAAGCACCTATTTTAAACCATTTCCGGAAAGGTAGCCAAGTTAAGTCTGTTGCAGCAAAAATAACGGAGCCTTGGGGCAACATAAGAGACAAAAAAATAATAATCATTGCATCAGCTTCAATGGACTACGGTCCAGTTCATCACATTATGTGTGTTGTGGTTCAAGCATTTGGATTTGGACCCGGGAAATCCAGGTTCAGGTCTTCCCATAGCCATCAAGCACAGTGCAAGTAGTAAGCTCTCCATCTTACCTATAGCACCTACATCCCAGGTTGTTTGTGCGAATAAAGTGGAGAGGAGTGCATGCTGCCTTGACCTCTTTGGAGGAAGAGTGGAATATAGTCTTTGCCAGCTTGCAAGTAGCAAAAGTTTCTCCCTGTGTGTTCTTGCCTGTGTGTTGAAGTTTGTCTAGACTTCTTACCCATTCCTGCCTCCTTTACCTTTCAGAACGCAGCTGCCCCCTCCCAGACCCAGGCGATCCCAGCCATGACACAAGCGCCGCAGGGTTACATGGGCAATCAGTCGGTCTCCATGGGCTACCAGCCCTACAATATGCAGGTGAGAGACTCCTTGAAACTGTTGCGCTGTGCACCTTCTCCAGTGTCCGGTGTGAGGGCAGCCAGCAGACAGGACTGAAGGGGAATTCTTGTATGTGCATAGAGGCAGCAAAGCCACCCCTAAGCTCCAGGCTGACTCCTGTTATGAATGGAGCCATGTGGGTTGGCGGAAAGTCTTATGCCCTCTTCTTTTCCTGCCAGAACCTCATGTCAACCCTCCCTGGCCAAGAACAGGGTTTGAGTAACATGCCACCCCAGCAGCCTTACCTGTCGGGACAGCAGCCTATGTATCAGCAGGTGAGTCTTCGACCAGCCACTTTGGGGGCAACTGTTTTGGCGACTTCTTCATGTTATGTTAGGCTGATGCCCTGAATTCCTTCAGCTCAACATTGTTTGGCTTTTTAGCCTCTGTGCCGATCCATGGGTTGGAGGACCGTTATCTACAGTAGCTTTAAATGGGGGAGGGGGGTGCCTTTTTAAACAAGTCCTCCTTACTCGCTTCCCTGTTTGCCTCCTTACAGATGGCACCTCCTGGAGGACCTCCCCAGCAGCAGCAGCAGCCTCAGCAGGCTCCAGTCCAGGTGCAACAGGCACAAGGCGGCAGCGGAGAGGCTCAGCTGATCTCCTTTGACTAATCTCTTGGTTTATGAGGAAAGGGAGGGGTGGGTTTCTAAGACATTGTAACACTACCATCTGTTGGTCACTGCTGTACTCGCTACACCATTGCTATTACCTTGCGCCATCCCCACCCTGGGGAACGGAGAGCTGAGCCCCCGCTGTCCTAGGTAGTTTCCCGTTGGCTACCTGTACCTCCCCCCTCCATCCCTCACTAAGTGAGCCTTCTGGGAGGAGCGAGAGACACCTGTGCTCAAATAACCTTATACACTGTTCCTTGGCTGTGGAGAGAGAGTGGCCCACTGCCTGATCCTCCTAGCTTTGTGTTGGCTGGGTAGCAGAGCAGAATTCTCAAGGAGTGCCTCCTACGTGCGCCGTTACAGGTTGGAGAGCTGCTCTTCTCATTGGAAACTGCATTTAAGCATGCTCCAAAGCCAGAGCAAATGGGCCCAGCCCACAGCATGATGTGGGCCTACATCCTTCTCCCCACCTCCCCTTTAGTACATTCTATGGTTGCATCTTGCCAATCAAGTGGCCTTCACCTCCAACACCACTGCCCCCTCCCCCTCCATGATCTCACAGCCCTCCATGTCTCTTCTCAATCCCTTTGGAGAACCCACAACATTGAACACAGCCTGCTCCAGGCCTGCGTTTCTTCTCCCTTCCCTCTGCCCTACTTATGCTCGCTGCTTTTGAAGACTCATCTCTTGTGTTTAGTGCTGGTGTAGACAGAATGGAACCAGTGACAATAAAGTATTTAAAACTTTTTTCAGTCTGTGCTTCCTCGTAGGCCTTGGGTTAAAAGTTTCTGTCTCTGCGGAACTAGTTGGTGGGTTGTGACCACCGGTGCATGCAAGGTCTTAGAAGGGGGTACAGGAGGCATTCGTCATCCTGGGGCAGCACAGAGAATAGAATTTTTTAAAGCCATTCTGAAAGCGTTATTTCCCCCCTCCCCCGAAGAAGCTGCAGAAGCACCCATTTCTTTTTCTTAATTTAATTTCCACACCCATCCATGTAAATAGGGCAGTCCTCCTTTGACTTTTCCGTAGCCAGAGATCATAACTCCCTCCGCCGAAAGATCAAACATTTGGTGTATTCAGGCATCTCCAGCTGAGGAAGAAAAATAGGCCCTGAGTCATTGCATGAGGGAGGATGAGCAAAATGGAAGTCTATGGGAGAAACTGCAGAGCTGGTGGGATCCCCCTTTCCCAGGAAACAAAGAGCAAGAGTGGGAAGTGGTGGTTGTGGTTTCTGCAGTTCTATTTCATTGCTCCCTACAATGTTGTAGGCTGACCTCAGCCTCTTACCATGCGCTCGAGCCGCAGTGCATTAGTGTTTGCCAGTTGACGAAGCTCCTCCACATCTCTCAGTCCCCACTCAGGATTTCTGCCATTTTAAAAGCATAATGTGTTAAAAGTAGAACATGGCCTCGTCACAACGAAATCCTCAGAGCCTTTCCCAAAGAAGGAGAAACAGTAGGCTAAAGGCTAAACACGGTCTCTGCCTGTAGCTCGTCTTCATCACGTAACACAAAATCTTGCCCTGTTGTCCATCTTCCATGCTACTACACAACATGTGGATAGTGAGGAAATAAATCAAGGGGAAATTTCCAAGTAGCCTTTCCCCATCCTGCCTTGACCTCACTAGGCCTTTGGTGGTCACCACAAGGGAGATGAGATGGAATCCTGTCCTTCAGCTCTAACATACCTGGCCTGGAGCATGTTATCCAGTTGCACATTGCACTCTGGGAGGATGATCCCATTAACGGCGAAGGGCTGTGGAGTGGAAGCAGAGGGAATTAACACCGGGCCAGCATTCTATGGGGCTCTTAGGGCAAAGGTCTAGAACGAAGGCAACAAACCTAACATCAGTGACCCTTGAGCAAGCCCCATTGAATTCAGTAGGATTTGCTTCTGAGGAGGCATTGTGCTGTAAGACTCATGACTCAGTCTTGTGGCAGAACTGGATGAAAATATGAGCTGCTTTCCAACCTTGAGGTTCCCCTTTTCCATCAAGTTGATGCAGGGGCAGTGGGGGATACTGCTTAGCGCTGGGCTTGGGTGCACAAAACTCTTACGCATCCGAGCAGAGCAATAAGCAGAAGCACTTGGCCTTCCTATTGGCTGATGTGGAGGGAGAGTGATCCTTGGGGCTCCTGTTTTGCACATCAAAGGCTCCCAACAACAAGCTGGTGGTCAGGCACTTTGAGAGCTGCACAAATCAAGACTTCTAGCAAGCCCCACCCATATCTAGATGTAATGAAATGGGGAGTCCTGGCAAGCCTGTGACTTTGCCTGTGATTGCCTTCCCACTGAGCTTAAGCTGTAATGGATGGTTTTCCTATACTCACCCCGTAGGCCAAGCAAATGCCTCCAGGTTTCAGCAGTTGTCCTATGCCTTTAAACATTCCCTACAACACAAAAGGTTATCTGTTGAATAAGATCCTTTGCAGAGGTCAGTTTCCATAATATTGACCTAAGTGCTTTGTCATACCTCCAGGCCTTGATCAGTCATGTGCAGCAGGTTAATAATAATGATGAAGTCACAACAGCCTTGACTCAAGCCAGCCCACTGGTCCCATGGCTGTGTTACATCTATGGCAAGGGGTTCTCGGACATTGGTCACCTTGGTGGCTTGGATGTAAGCAGAGATGCTGTGGAAAAAGATGGAAGATTCTTATTTTTGTGTGTAAAGCCATAATAAAAAAAAATGGAATTACCGTATTTTTCGCTCTATAACACGCACCTGACCATAACACGCACATCGTTTTTAGAGGAGGAAAACAAGGGAAAAAACATTCTGAATGAAACAGTGGATGTATCATTTTTGTGCTTCATGCTGTGGCCACAGACATGTGATCTGATGGTGAATTTGGGGTGACCCAATGCAAAAATCCTGAGAATTCCTGTGGATTCATGCTTTGTAACCACGTTTTTGCACCATTGCAGCCCCAGGCAACAGTGGGTGCGTGATTTTTCTGGTGCAGGCTGTAGCCATGGACATGCTATGTGATCTGATGGTGAATTTGGGGTGACCCAATGCAAAGATCCTGAGGATCCATGTGGATCCATGCTTTGTAACCACATTTTAAGTGGGGAGCGAAGGAAAAACAAAGAAGGGACATGAGAGGGGTGTGCAGAGAAGCAGCTGGCTAAGAATGCAGGAGAGGGATTTAACGGGAGGGAGGAAAGAAAGGCAAAAGTTTCCCCCCACCCAAGCCAGCCATCTCTCTCTCTCTCTCTCCTTCCCCCCCCTCTCTCTCCCTCCCCCCTCTCTCTCCCTCCCCCCTCTCTCTCCCCCCCCTCTCCCTCCCTCTCCCCCAGCAGCACCAGAGCACAGAGAGGAATTAGAAGGAACACTCTGCTTTCCCCTCTGCTTGCCTGGAGGCTTTCCCTGCTCTTTGTTCCGTTTCAGCAAACACAGCAACGAAACAGAGGCGGGTGGGCAGTAAGACCCTGAGGCAGAATGCAAGAAAGCAGCCACTTCCTCTTTTCAGGTTTCCCTTCTCCGTGAAGCGCGATTTGATTTTTGCCTGATTTTTCGGCTCCAGGGACCACACATTCGCTCTATAACACGCACAGACATTTCCCCTTCCTTTTTAGGAGAAAAAATCTGCGTGTTATAGAGGGAAAAATACGGTACTTTCTCCAGTTTCCTTCATCCTGGCCCCACAAAAAAGCAGCACTGGGTTTGAAATACAGTCAGGCAATATAGTGGGAGGCTAGTGGGAAATGTATGTAACTTCTTTCTCTGAACCAGAGAAAGGCTAGACAAGGGTATGATATATGCATCCAACATTGATTCTCCAAGTTAAAGGGGTGGACACATTTTTATGATTTTTCCAAGTGACAGTGCTAAGATTTCAGATGTGACTGCTCTGTGAATTAAGGTCAGTGTAAATGACACAGGCACTCAATTACATGTGTATGTGACGCTAGCGACAAGCAATACAGCACACTGGCACAATCTCCCATGCCATTTTATGCCCTTCAGTTTCTGTCCTCATCCCTCCCAACACCTCTTGGTGAGCAATGACTATTAGAAATGTTATTGCTATTTGAAAAGGAATACCCCACACAACACCCTCTTTACTCCATCTGTTGACTTAAGCTGTTTGCGCCAGATGATTTTTGCACAGGCCAAGATGCCACCTACGAAATGCTGTTACAATTTTATCCTCACCCTTGTGCATGTTTTGCAAATTGTAAATTTCAGGAATAGCTAACAATAAAATAAAATGTAAAGAAGGAACGTCTGGAAAACCCCTTGGACGCTCGCCAACCGTTTGTTCATGTTTGTCATACCACAACTCAAAAAAAAAATCCTCATTTCTCATACTGTAATATTAACTGTAGTATTAACCATGATAATTTTAATCTACCAACAATCCACAGACCCAGGCTAAGTAGTCAAAGCAACACCAGGTATTAAAGCCAAGTTTTTAAAAAATGCATCTACCTTGGCATATACTGTTTTATTGCCAGATTATTCTATAGTCTAAGACAGATTGCCACCAAGAAGTTCTCACTATTCCGCTGAAATATACACATGCCGTTACTGCTTCAGCAGCAAGTCTTTCTTACCAAGAATATATGCACAGCTAGGATCTGTCCAATGCAGAACAGTCTAGCTATTTCTTGGAAAGGCATTTCCAGGCTACTGAACACAAGCTGCCATATGGTTTTTGACAGTCCCTTTTGGTTGACTATAAACAAGGACTAAGAGCCAGTTCTTTTTAGTGCAGATTTTGTGCCAACATTCTGCTGGGGCCAAGGGAAAGCATGGTCCACACACTACTACAACACCCATCCCTTGCTGTCACCACAGGCCCCAGTATACCTCTGTTGAGAAGCTGGGCTGATCTCTGAGGGTTGCCAGATGACCGTGGGCAAGGCCTGGGCAAAGTGCACCACATGCTGTCCTGTGCCAGATCCCAGTTCAAGCCCAAAAGCTGATCTTGTGTCATCCACATAGTCAGCCAGCACCTCAAGGATGGTTTCCTTGTTTCTCTCAGCCATCGGCGAAACTAGCATCTTTTCTGGAGATAGGCTCTGTTCTCTTCTCCCGGGATTTCTGTTTGCTTTCTGATATCTCCAGCCCTACAATGATGCCCTAAGCTAGATTTATTAAGGCAAAGGAGATTACACTAAGATGCACTTGGCCACAGCAGGAAAGGCACGTGTTGCCCTTGCACCTGCAGCTCAGACAATCCTGCTGCAAGATTCAACACAATGTTTTCACGGGGATATTTTGTACAGACCTCTGAGCTGTGTGTCTGCTTCATACACCTGATGATCTATTCTACAAAGTAGGCTGATCAAATACTCATCATGCTGCAATAAGATGGTTGCCTTTTAAGGGGTCACAGAGTCCTGCTGTTTTTATTCAGAAACATGTTGTCTTTGGGATCTTGTTTCTGTTGGATTTTTTGTTAGATTTTATTTATATGCAAATGCAATACAGTAATACATAACTTTAACAGCATTACTATACAGTACAAGATCACTTTTGTCTAGGAGTTTGTTTCATGAGCTATTAAGATCAGTGCCAGCTATCGGTACTAGGCTGGCTGCAATATTCCTGAATCAGGAATGTGTTCTAAATCAACAGTGCTGAGACTTGCGGCCATCACTCACTGTATAAGAGGTCAAGAAATGGAACTGCTGAAAGTAAAAAGTACAACTTCATTTTATTGTGAAGGATCACATTAATACATGCTCGTCTAAAGAAAAAGGTTTTAGCAGGCATTGAAAAACAATACAAAAAGGCACCTTGTTGATAATACTGATAAAGCCTTCAGGGGGCAGGATGAGCTCTGCCATGGGGCTTCTGGTGTGCAGCATTCTTTGGGAGCTTTCCCCACCAAGTTATTCATTTGTGGTGTCTGATGGGCAAGTCTGTTTCTGAAAACTTTCAGTTCTTATCAGCATTGGCTAAAATCAAACTAATGCAAATCCTTGTCTCTGCATCTCTCCCACACAAAAAGCCCTTTGTTTCAAGAAGGCAGACAAAAGCTAATTCTGGATCCAAGCCAAGTTAGACTGTACATCTTTGTGTTCTGTAAATATCCAGCACGCTGGTATATATCAAATTACAAAAAATTAGTCAGGACTACTTCTGTACATCACCAAAATCTTTTTGGAAATTATTGTTTACTCAGAAGTAGGTCCCACTGAATCCAATAGGGCTTGCTCCCAAGTGTTTCAAGGCTGCAGCCTTAGCTTAATTATCAACTTTGTAAACAAACCCTGTGATTTGCTAGGCCGAATTTTAATTGTCAGCAGCCCCAGCGCCGTGCTGTTAGTATGTGCACTTGGCAATATCAAATTATGCCTTCCCAGCTTTTGAATCCCACCGGTCTCCTTGCTAAACGAATCAAACAACCACCTCAGTAGAGCTCAGTGGCACGTTCCGGGAACACCATTTTACACCCATTTTACACTTTACACCGCCTCCATTCCACAGGCTCCAAACGCTCCTTCCTCTTCCCGCGCAAAGAAAACACGCTCCCAAATCCCGCGCGACTTCCGCCGTTGCTAACAAACGCGTCTGCCGCCGCCGCCGCGCGCAGCAACGCCTGCCATAGAGTCTTCATCCCTAGCGCGGCATTGTGTAAGGGTGGGAAGCGGCCCGAACGTCACCTCCGTCAACCACGGAGATGCACGGCGGGCCGCCTAGAGCGCCATCGATCAAACTCGGCCGCGATAGGTGCACCCCGCTGGATCAGAGAGAAGGAGCGGGCAGAGCGTTCCCTCGGCGTCCTCTGCTGCTCGCACGCCGGAGACAGAGGAGAGCGCCGGTGTGTCTCCGTCCTGCCCGCCTCCTGGAGCTGCCGCCATGGCCATGTTGCCCGCGGGCCGGCTCGGTGCCGTTATCCGCCTGCTGCTGCGGTATGCAAGAGGCGGGAGGTGGGCTGGTCGGTTCCTCGGGCGCCGGGGGCCCCGAAAGAGGTCGAGGTTAGGCCAGTTCACGTGCCAGACTCCCATCGGAATCCTGCCTTTCCCGCGTGAGGGATGAGGCGCCCACGCGCGCTTTCTCCGCCGTGAAATGTTCAAAGCTGCTTCGGGTGCTTCCCGTTGGGTGGTGCCCGCAACAGCTCTGAAAGGTGGGCCGCCCTCGCTAACCCCAAATCACCATCGAGGGCGCGAAGCTGGTGGTGGCAAGTTTGCCAAAGGCCGACCTGCTGGTTTTTATGGCTGAGGCGAGACTTAAAACCAGAAACTTCCTGCTTCCTGGCTCCTGCTTTTAGTCAATAGGCAAGGAGTGGGTAGGAGCTTAAAACTGAAGGAAGGGGTTCCCAATGGTCATCTAGTCCAACTCCCTGCAACACCAAGAGAAGGTCAGCCACTGGCCAGTTTCTGCTGGACAGCCGAGGGCTATCTCTGCAGGTGTCCCCCTCCCCTTTGTTCTCAATATCCAGTTTCTAGTCACAAACAGCAAGTTTGAGAAATAGTCCGGGTAGAAACGGAAGATAGAAGCTGTGAACTGTCTGGACTGTTTTTGACAAAAAATGGTAGATTAGTTGGCTCTTGATTTGTTCCAAGGTAATTTTTATGTTTATAAGTAAGAAGGCACATTTGAGGTTACTTAAGCCCTACTAAGGATATGAATATACATTCTTGCTTTGTGGAGCAGAGGACTTCCTTTTTGAAAATTAGAGTAGACCGTGCAAGATTGAAGTCAGTCCACCCTGCTCATCACCTGCTCTGTTGACAACTATCTGCTCTGAGTTATCCCACTGTGGAGCTCACAGTGTGAAAACAAATTTCTCTACACCTCACATTGGAAAACACTTCAAGCTTTTAAAAATGCCTTTTAGTAATATGGACATTCTGAAGGAAATCAGCCCTGAGTGCTCACTGGAAGCACAGATCATGAAGCTGAGGCTCCAATACTTTGGACACCTCATGAGAAGAGAAGACTCCCTGGAAAAGACCCTGATGTTGGGAAAGATTGAGGGCACAAGGAGAAGGGGACAACAGAGGACGAGATGGTTGGATAGTGTTCTCGAAACTACGAACATGAGTTTGACCAAACTACGGGAGGCAGTGGAAGACAGGAGTGCCTGGCGTGCTCTGGACCATGGGGTCACGAAGAGTCGGACATGACTAAACAACAACAATATGGACATCTCCTTAAATTTGTTTTTAAAATTACACTACGGTTTTGTTGCTGCTGAGAGGTGTTGCTTCTCTCCCTTTTCCCACAGCACCTACACCAATCCATGTTTATATCACCCTTCTCACTTGGGTGGCCTCGCTGTTTCTCCTGAAGCACATCTGTTCTCATTCTTTCGTTCATTTGCTGTTTGCACAAGTCTTTATGTTGTGAACCATGAAGTGCTGACAAACTCTTTGTTGATTTTTCTACAGGCAGCATCAGCCACGAGCATGTGCTGTTAGGATGCTGAAGACTACCAGCTCACAGCGAAGTGAAGCCTTGGCAACTCCGCCTCTTGATAATGTTCCCAAGGAGTACTCGCCCAAGATTCAGCAGCTAGTTCAAGACATTGCCAGCCTCACCCTACTGGAGATTTCTGACCTCAATGAACTGCTGAAGGTGCCAGTGTTTGCATGGGAAGCAGGGTGATTGTTGTACTAGGGAAAGATGGGGCAGCAGACAGCTCATTGTTGGTTGTGTCTTTCTCTTTTTCGGTAACAGTGGGATGGGGTGCTTTGGAATTCCTTCCCCAGTTTTTGTGATGCATACAATATAGAAGAAGGATTAATATTTCTCTTAACACTGCTTACTCTGTCTTTTTCTTCAGAAAACCCTCAAGATCCAAGATATGGGACTCATGCCAATGGCAGGGATGATGCCACCAGCGCAAGCAGCAGCTCCAGTAAGGGATCAATTGTTTAACTTGTTGTTTATTTGGGCTGAGTAGCAGCTGTAGCTGGGCAAATGTCTGAATTTCAGCAGCCCTACAAAGCCCTACTTCAGCAGCCCTACAAATGAGCATTCTGTTGAGAGAGTTATGTGTGAAGGCACCAAAATATTACATAACAGGCATGTTGATTGCTTGAGGCTGTTGGACTAAGCATGCAGCCAGCCTGTTAGTTCTGCTGCAGTGTCATGAAAAAGGTTGTTTCAGTGTTGCTAACTCGTCAGATGACATTTTCCTGGATGTTACTGGTGTATAACAAACTCAGCAACTGGAGATGGGAATGCAGGGGTGAGAAAAGTTCTCTGCTAATAGGGGCTTTGTGGTTGTGCTTGGTATCGCAGTCGTCTTGCCACATTTATTTATTTACATACCCTGTCTTATGAACTCTTAAGAAATAAGATGTTCAGAACCAAAATACCATTTACTGTATATAAAAGCCACACAAAGCCGTTAAGCTATCGAAAGAGTAAATAGCACTAACACCAGTGCAGTGGGCCTGCCACTTATGTGAGGTTTAGTTCCAGGGGTCCATGTGTAAAGGCAAAATCATGAATAGTCTGTCCCTGAAAAAGAGGGTGCCATTGCATCACATATTTTCAGGCCACTGCAACATTTTAAATCTAGCACATGATGTGTTGGGCCTGCAATAACCAAGGATAACCCTGTCATTATTGTGGACATCACAAAGACCTGAGCTGCAGGTGATAGGGAAGCCTGGACATGGATGTTAAAACCCTTTACCTAAGATTGGGCAGATAGTTGTAATAACTCTTACTGCAGTTGACATCTCAGGGCTGATACTACATCAAGAATCAAGTTGGGAGCTGTTGGATCTAAACAGGTCGGCTCGAATTATGCACTGAGTTCTTAGTTCTATAGTCCTGGTCAGTAGCGTTCACTAGAATTAAATACTCAGTGGTAGATGTTTTGTTGACAGTTGATTTGGCATTAATAACAAATCCCACCACAGCCAACCAAAGACAGTCAACCACATCCTAGGCCACCCCAGCCTCTCACACCACCAAGGAAACATAACAAGCGAATAGAAAGAGAACCTGTCCAAGTGACGCTGAAACAACCCCGCGCACACGCTATGTCAAAGAACATGCACTTTACCATCCCACACCCCCCCTCTCCCATCCCCTCCCTCTTTTCTTCCCAATACCTTGGGGCCACACCTTTCTGTGACCCATTCCCCTTATTAAGATTTTCTAAGTACCATGTCAAGACAGTCTTTATAGTAGCTCTGTTTTGAGATCATCTTCCCATCCCAAAAAAATGCAGGGATTTGCGTAAACTGCATGCAAACACTTCCAAAGCTGCAGGCAAGTGCTCCTTAAATGTGAAGATTTCCACATCAAAGTCTCCTTTCTCAAAGGAGGTTACTTATACAACATTATGATACTTCTCCCAGCCTTAGATCAGCGTTTGCCAACCTGGTGCCCTCCAGATGTCTTTGACTACAACTGCCATCTGGAGCTGTAGTCCAAAACATCTGGACAGCAGCAGGTTAGTGAAAATTGCCTGCTTGTATTACATTGGTTAAGATCTTGAGCATTTGTGGAGCAGATGAAATGTCCATTTGGCCCGCCACCTATTTCCCATTGTGGACAATCAGAAGTTTCTGGTCCATATGCTGGGCCTTTCAAGTCAATAACAATTCGCCTGCTATTACTTCCAGTAACTGATTAGATATTGGGCCACTTCCAATAATAAAAAGCTGGTGTTCAATTAAGACAAGGCTTTTGGGCTGACCTACTGTCTCTATTCCTTCATCATTAAAGGAGAACTAGCATAGATGGTGAGATGTTTTAATCTGCTTTCTAGCTTACTGTTGATTTTGATCAACTCTTAAATGTTTTAACTACTTGCTTCTAACTTTTCATTGATGGTTTTCAGTTCTTGTAAACCGCATAAAGGTTTTGTTGCAGTCAAGTGGTATATACATTATGGTTAAATAAAAATAAAGATTCAGCAGTAGCTTTGCAACTCAACACAAGAATTTAGGGGAAATAATGAAGGAGTAGCTGATGCAAGTCTTGTTAGGTCTTCCCTCTGTATCTGGCTAGAACAACTTTGGTACTACCATTGGCTAATGAAGCTTTAGGGATGTGAGGGTCAGGCTTCTGTTGCCAATTGTGAGTGGGTTCTTATCTTTTTTGCTAGGAAGCTGAAGAGGATTTTGTCCCCAAGAAGCCGGAGAAGATAAATTTTACAGTCAAGTTGACTGAATTGAATGCTGCAGATAAGGTGAAACTTATCAAGGAGGTGAAGAATTGTATGCAAGGCTTAAACCTTGTCCAGGTAAGCAGATGGTGCTCAAGGCTGACTTAACAGGTGAATGTGCTAAAGGCTTGAGGGAGGCATGTTTCCTTTTGCTTGTGCCATACAGAACTTAATTATCAAGTAGCCCCATCTACTTGGGCTACTTTTGTGCATTTAATGGTGGTGGAAGTACCTCCATGCTCTCTGCCTCTTGTCTGGTATATCCACATGAGGTCCGCAGTTAGTACTTAGGGCAAATACACATTTCGCTTGACCTGTACTTTGATTGTATTGTGTACCAATTTATTCCCCTGCGTCTGGGAACTTTTCTTTTTCTGTGGCTGTGCCTTCTGAAAATCTGCTCCTACCTGCTGAATTAAAGCTCCATTAAGCAAAATCTCTCTTTGGATTTTCTGCGCATCAAAAAAGATCTGATTCAGTAGGAAAGATCAAATTTTCACAAGGCACAGTCACAGAACAATGAGAAAAGCCCATGGACCTTTAATCAGTACATGGTAATCAGGGGAAATTAATCAGTACACAATACAGGTCAGGTGAAGAGTGGATGAGCCCTTGGTCATACCACTTGGGGGCAGCAAATTACAAAGAGATGAGCTGCCAAAGGAACGTTCACATGAGGAAAGTGAGGAGCTAATGCAGTTAGTGGAAGCGAATTTGCATCCTTTGAGATAGTACCAGCTAGTGTGGCAAGGTCCCTTGTGAATCATGATGCTCCAAAGAGGATTCTTCTAAGCATTTGGACTCTGGTCAGAAATGGCTTACTGTTTCTTTGCAGGAACTTGGCCAGCTGAAAATTAATACTGCCGCTTCAGCCTAGGAAATGCTTCTGCTTGGCTCATCTTCTAGGCTGCGTGATCTGCCAAGTGGGGAGATAAGGGCGAAGTCACAGAGGGTCCCATACTAGTGGGAGCAGGCAGCAGCAGCTTCTTGGGTTCAGCATTATCCCTTTCCATGGCTAACTGGAGCGGCTCTCTTATCTCTTGCAGGCGAAAAAGTTGGTAGAGTCTCTTCCTCAAGAGATCAAGGCACACGTCTCTAAAGAGGAAGCGGAGAAAATCAAAGCTGCTCTGGAGGCAGCAGGAGGGACTGTCGTTCTGGAGTAACGGTTGGCATCAGCAGCCAAAGGACTAAAGCAGAGCAGGGGAAAGTCCTGCGCTCTGTCACCCACCTGAAGCTTTTATTTGCCTGCTGACTGGTGGTGGTGGGGTGCTGTGCAGTTCCATGAAGCTGTGCCCCGCCTTGTTTTCTCTGCAATGTGGTTGTCCACTGAGATGGCCCAGTGTGGGATGAATGTCTTCGGCACGATGGGGGTCTGTTGTTTGTACCAACACTGCAAGGAACTGAATCTATAAAGAATATACACGGGGGCGAATGCCTTTGGAACAAGTGTTGTGTGAGCAGACTTTCTTGCATACCAGTGTCCCTCCTCACCTGGAAGGGCTCCCTGGTTTGTGCGTTTTTGCACCAGATCCTGCTAGCAGCTTATCTTAGGCTCTCTTGGTGGTATTCAGGGCCACTCTCTTAGCTGCAATTTCTAACATGACCCACAAGGACAGCCTTCCCAGTTGACTGGGAGGTTGTGGACTCTCCTTTCTTGGAGGTTTTTAAGCAGAGGTTGGATGGCCATCTGTCATGGATGCTTTAGTTGAGATTCCTGCATTGCAAGGGGTTGAACTAGATGTCCCTCTGGGTCCCTTCCAACTCTTCAGTTCTTTGACACTGTGATGGGAATTGTAGCCCGGGTTGGGGAGAAGCATGTTGATGAAGCATGGTGATGACTAACCACTCAGCATAGAAGTGTAGTGGTCCAGGGATGTGCCTTGACTTGCAGGCAGCTTTCCCCATCATGAGCTGTTCCTCCCCATGAAAGAGATTGAATGTGAAAAAGCCTGATCTCTTTTCTCCTCAGGATATTAACTTAAATGACAGGTTTTTCTGCACCAGGTAATCCTGGGCAGGGACGATGCATTGTGCAGGTCCGCACCATGCATAGGTACCCTGAGTAATACTAGTTGCCCTGTTTCTTTCCACCTGTTTTCTGCACCAAGAACTTGAGCTCGTGGGAAAATCTCTCTGGCCATCTTCCAGAACTCCTGGCTGTTCTCTGTTACAAGTGGATCAGTTTTACACTCCTTCCCTCAACCCCATCGGATGTGATTTATAGGCAACTCGGCTTTTCTTACTGCCGGGCCCTCGCTGGATTGTAGCTTCACCAAATGAAAATTGGGCAGCTAAATCTATCCAAACAGGAGCTCCTGTTTTAAGGGATGAGGGGAGTCAGTGCTTGGAAGAGACTGTTCTTGGAAGGAGTGGAGCACAAAGGGAAGGGCCTCTGGGACACAGTGAACCTCTTTCAGCCTGTTCCATGTTCTCTTCATAAATGACAGTGTGTTCCTTTTCGCTACACCGTTTTGAAGTGGCCAGAATTGATCTTCTCAGTTGGTTTTAGATAAGACACCCAATGAAACAAGCTGGGTTATTAGTCCAAAGGTCATATTGTCACACCTTTCACCTTGACTTGTTCCTGAGTTCTATTTGGCAGGTGGGGGGGTATGGAAAGTAATGCCGTATTTGACCACTTTTGCTTTCTTGCCTTCCTCAGCCTCATAAAAGCTAGTTAGTTCCAAGCAGTCTATCCTGGAAGTGGCCAATTGCATAGGCTTTTTGCTAAGAAGCATGGAGTTTGGTTTCTCTTTCTTTCTTGAATGTCTCTTATTAGGCATTTCCCATTAAATCAGTTCACTACAAAATGTCAAATATTCCCAGTGAAGAACTAGTTTAGGATATTTTTGTCCTATGCATCTCAGCGGTTGTGCACAGAACCTATGCTATGATGTAGTCCTCTGTGGATACAGCCATGCCCTTTTGCAAGAAATTCCACATACTAGGAAGCCCTGATTACTTTCTGCGGTCACATACATCACTTATAGGAGGCCGTGTGGAGGGAGGCAGCTGCATCCTCCAAAGTTGGCAGGTGTATTAATAGTGGGGAGAAAATATTAAAATGGCTAAAGCACTCCAAATTCCTCCCTCGTAACCATACTGTGTGTCTAAATGCCATTTTGTTTTAAATGTAAATATGTGGCTTCCTGTGTCCAGTGCAGTAAAGAACTCTATTGCATCGCCCTTGTTAGTACATCCATCAAGGTGTGTGCTCTTAAAGCAGTTTGCGGGGAGTGGAGTGGGCAGGGATACTTTTGAAGAGAAGGTTGAACAATAAACAGTGTCCCTGGCCAGCTCAGAGAAGAGCATGATGCTAACATTCGACTTTCAATCAGCTTTGATTTCTGGGTTTTTTGTTTTTTTAAATGCAACAAATAATACAAAATGAAGGAAATGTTTAGAAACATTTATTTGACCCTGCCCATGTATTTCCATGCTTTTGCACACTGGGGGCTAGAAACACACAAAATTAAATTTCCACAGTTTTCTACAACGCCTTCAGCTTCAGACATCTCTGAGATGCTGCATAGTGCAATTGTAGTCAGGCACATATTTAGGTCTCCTTTCTACTAAAGGTGCTGTAGTGCCACTGTGGCAGTGGCTGCTATGGCAAGACTACTGTTTACAATCCTAAATACAAGAAGAGTTACAGAAACAAGATCCAGTAGCCTGTGGGTGTTTCACTTGCATCTCTGCCAACTGACACTAGCCGTGCATGGTGGGCACATCAACCTGCAGCAATGGTACAAATGTCACAGAACACCCCACTCCTGCCCCTCCCACATACAGGTCCTAGCTTCAATCTCTGGGATATCAGAAATACTGGAGAGCCACGGCCAGTCCAAACAAGACAGTACTGAACTGGATGGACTAATGTTCTGACTTCATGTAAGGTGGTTTCATATGTGCTCTCTACATGCAACAGACAAAACTATGAGGTAGCCAGCACTTCCACTGCAAGAGGTCAAGGCCCATCAACAACAAGTACTCCAACGTACAAGCGCTCCCAAGGTTTTTCCTCCAAAGGAACTCAAATCCCCTGCCAGCCCAAACAGCCAGTATTAACAGCATGAAGGAACATCAGCAGCATTCAGGCTACCATTTAGACAAGGAAAGTGGGAGTGCCATTCTGGTTGCCAGAGCCATCTGGATCCATGGCCCACTATATAGCAAAAGGTCCATATATGGAATGTTAGGCCACAGGCTCCCCAAGAGAAGAGGTTGGCTAGGGTAGAGCAGCTGATAACATTCAGATCACAATACAGAATATGTTTGTGTTGGTTTCAAGGTGCAGTGGGAGAAGAGAAGTTTATTGCGAGAGGTGAGGGTAAGTGGATGGGAACAGAGAGTGTGGGCAAATAAACACTGCCAGGAAGCTTTCAAGAGGCAGGTCAACAAACTGTATAGTAGCTCAGGGAAAGTGTAAAGCAATGAGAAAAATTCTGACCCTCAGGCAAAGCCAGTAAATTTGATCCTCATCTCAGGCAAAGCCAGTGTCCACAGGGCTGGAAGAAAAGCGGCAAGATCTGATCCAAAGAGCTCTATAACTGGACCTGTGACTCCTTGTCTCCCAGAGGCCTAGCCCACTGCATGCCTTTTTCCTACTCAGCTCAACATGAACCCAGAAATCTAGGTCAGGGGTACCCAAAGATGAACTACAACAACCATCATCCTTGGCCATGAGAGCACTACATTAGCCACTCCTGTTCTAGGTAAAGCCATTGCTCACTGGACCAGCATAGGATTAGCACATGAACAGGTCTGTTTCCCAGCTATCCTAGCTGAGAAGATGAGAAACCAGCAGACTCTTAGGATAATGCAGTGTGGTGCCCTGTCAGATCACATACGTAATTCAAGGGCTAATGGTCTCACTCTGACAACTCTGGGCCCCCACAATGCCTACAAGTCTGCTTGGTTTCGCTAGACTGTTGTATCTTCAGTCTCTGTCAGTGCAAGGGAAATTAGGAACCATCTTATCGCTGGCCAGAAAGCACGTAGTTCAGGGATAGGAGGATCATACTGTTTGCGCTTTGATGTGTTAAGAAAGTGAACACTGATAGAGAGCAGACTTCGAGCTAGAGCTGGCGCTGGTACAACAATGCTTTGATAATTCAGGTGTTGGCTCAAGGTAAGTAATATTTTGTCAGAGCAAACTTTGGTGCTAGTTAAGAATTATATGTTATATAAATTATTAATCAATCAACTCCCACCCTTCACCCTAAGGTCCGAATTATAAGGTCCACCATTTCCTGTTTAGGGCAGTGTGACTCACCAAGAATGGCAGTTCAGCCTAACAGTGATCTCTTTGCTATCCTGGAGTTAGAGACAATATGCCAATCTCTAGGATCCTATTGCTTTTTGAGGACCAGTTTTTGCCCACATGCAAGCCACTTGATAGCTTGCAGCCAAGAGTGGGAATAGACATTATGCTTGTGGGCTGAATGATGCTGGCCTGTGCCTTCAACAATTCTTATCTTGTGCCATCATATTAGTGAATATTTCTGCTCCATATGGTGGTGAGGATACCCAGTGTGATGGTTGCCCTTCACTGTGTATAGAATTTGCCAAGGGGATGCCATCTTCTGTGGCATTCAGCTCCCTGCAATCCTAAACCCACGTACTGGAGTAAACGTCAATAAACACAGGAGGACCTGCATCTGAGTAAATATCCATAGACCTGGCCTATGGATATAAGGACTATCACCAATGAAAGATAGTGTGATTATGGCGATATGACATGGCTTTGAGATGTGGGCTTAATATTGTAAACAGATTTTTCAGATATTGCAAACAGTCACTGTCAACAGTTTTTTCTTAACAAACATTCCCTGGAAAGGGTAAGCTCTTAATTGAGGGGGCAGGAGACAAAAGGACTGGTATTTTGATGCCAGTCATGTCTGTTACAAGGCTGCAAAAATATCCACCTGCGCAAGGAACACACACTTTCACAATAAGCATTTCTCTCAGCACTCCGAAAGTCATATGTAGAACAAGAAACTACAATGGCGTTATGTACAATAAGTGTTTGGCTGATGTAACGCAAGAACAAATCCAGGTTTGCCGCCAAATATACACTGGAAAGGGAGTTGTTGTTGCCAGCTAGTGCACTCTTCTCCTTTTGCAATTGTGTTTGACCTATCTATTTGTTGTTGTTTAGTCGTGTCCGACTCTTCGTGACCCCATGGACCAGAGCACGCCAGACACTCCTGTCTTCCACTGCCTCCCGCAGTTTGGTCAGATTCATGTTGGTAGCTTCGAGAACACTGCCCAACCATCTCATCCTCTGTTGTCCCCTTCTCCTTGTGCCCTCCAATCTTTTCCAACATCAGGGTCTTTTCCAGGGAGTCTTCTCTTCTCATGAGGTGTCCAAAGTATTGGAGCCTCAGCTTCAGGATCTGTCCTTCCAGGGAGCACTCAGGGCTGATTTCCTTAAGAATGGATAGG